GGACTTCAACTCCCAGAATTCCCCAGCCAGCATCAGCATGCTGGCTGGGGAATTCTGGGAGTTGAAGTCCATACATCTTCAAACCACCAAGGCTGAAAAACACTAGATTAAGGGATATGCCACAATTAATTGGGCAGGCTTGAACACCTTCTGATATTTCAGCTAGATGGCCAACATGCGCTCACTTCCATACATATTTACAGAGACTCCCATTAATGGAAGATTCATCTGGGTAAGGATGTATTGACCATGCACTGCCCCAGATGAAGTGGGAATGTTTGCTGGGGTCATCACAAGTCAAGCCACAGTGGATGAGTGTTTTCAGTTACAGAACCCAACATCAAAATCTTACACTGGACAATCACTTTAACCATCGTCTTGACTGAGCCATGCTGATTATTTGCCAGGCACTGATATTCTCCAGCATCCTCTGGTCCAATTCTGCTCAGTTGAAAGGAATTCTTCGTGCTGTTCTTGGACTGACCAATTGTCTTGTTCCCCTTCATCCAGGATAGGTTGGGATGTGGTCTACCATCAGCAGTACAGAGCAGGTGGACAGTGTCTCCTTCTTGGGCCACAACATGGTCTAATGCCTCTTTCCTTTGCTGTCCAGATGAGTCTGCAAGCATTTAGGAGTGACAATCAGACAACTGCCCAGAAGCCCACATTAGAAGCCCCTCCCAAAAATTGGCATAATTCCAGAAAACCAAGATAACTCAATATTTTGTTGCTTGGCTTCATTAATGAAATGTGATAACTTTCATTGCTGTGTTATAGGCTGAGAAAGCCTAAAATAAAATAAAATGTATGAGAACTGGTACTGGATCCTGAGATGCACATCTGAGAAGAGTGCCCACCCCCTTTGTGCAGAAGGAAATACTTGTCTTTCTGCTAAGGAATGTAGAGTTGATGTTGGGCGTAGGGAAGGAAGGAATGAGCCATTAAGGAGGGGGAGGGATTTGCAGAAGAGATTACACAATCCTGAGACAGAAGGAAGCATGAGAAAGATACAATAACTCTGCCTTGTTTTTGTTGGTATAAGATGGGACAGAGAGAAACTCAGCAGGCTTTCAAGATTTAGTTATTCTGCCTTATTACCACAAAGAGCATTCCTGGAGTCCCTGCTATGTCTGTTCCTTGACCAGGCTTACCTGGAAGGGCTGACACTTCCTATGGCTTGCCAAGTATTGCTGTCAGCTGTACAAGGGACACCAGTCTAAGTAACCAATGCCATGTAGGTCAGGATTACTTTTACTGTAACAGCTCTAGTAACAGAATCTTGCAAGTCTGAATGTGCTTCCCCTTCCCTCCCTTTATCTTCATATGAAGTAGGGAGGGGCTGGTCTGAGACATCGTCTCAAGTTACTTTCCTGGCCCTGGGCTCAAGCCACTCTTATCTGATGGTTGTCTTGGTAGTGGCCCTTCCTCCTGTCCTTCAAGGCCATTCCTTCTTCCCTTTCCAGTGGCACTCCAAAAAGATGGTGGGAACAGGGAAACCAAATGGATGAGGTTAAAGCAAACAGTTAATATTATGTTTAATGCAGATAATGCAGTAATTTGATAAATGAAACACAATTTATATGACTGTGTGGCTAATTTCTTTTTTCTGAGACATTAAAATTTATAGGTTGATGGAATCTTTGAGAAAGGCTTTGGGGATTGAATCCAAGGCTTTTAGAAGTCTTCTGTAGCCCCAAAGCTTCAGGGCATTCACCCTTGTAGCAAGGGGAACATAGTCCACTAGCCAGGAGTCCTGGCCTGCCAGTTTCACAAAAAGTTGCATAACCAGATTAACAATAGTAGCTGGATTGGGTCAAACTGATCTGGTTTATATAATAATCTTCTATTTGGTGCTTAAATGTATTTGGTCTGAAAGCCAAACATGGCTTGACTTTGAGATGAATGCAATGAATAAATTGTTATAATGACAATTAGTAAAATATAGTCCAAGCTATTTTTTCTGTATTGCTTGACATCAACTATTTTCCAAGGACACAGATTCCTTGTTTTGGACAGATGGAACCTAACGAGGGTAGGTTACATGGAATTGTTTGACGGTAACATCCTAGGTTACAGAAATGAGATCTTCAGAATGGGATTTAGAGGCAAAAGAAAGTAGAGTCAAGAAAAAAGATGCTTTAAACATCTACAATCCATATATTTCCAGTTCACTTGTGGACATATCTCAAAAATATGTGTGGTAGTGATGGATTTATATTGGTTTAGCTTTCAAGTCAACCGAGCATGTGAATAATGGCTGTGATAAAGAAGAGTGCACAATCTAGAGTCCCAAACTTGCATGTCACCTCTCCCGCTACTCCCACAAGGCTTTGTAGCCCCTAGAAATCTCCAGAATTGTTCCTACATTGTAATTTTCCATGTAATAGAAGAAGGAAATTATTAAACGCCCTGATAGGAGAAAGATCACATTTGTTACTAAGGCTGGACAACGCCCCAGAATTGATCTCTCAAAAGAGCTCGGGAGCTGCCTACAACACCTTAATGCAGCCACTTCCTCCTTTTGCCCCTGCAGAAGCACCTTTCGAAGACTTTATCCAAAGCACTTCATCCAAAACAGTTATATTCAACTTTCATTCAACTTAAATGTAAATTAATTCAAACTGATTTTTTGTTCGGCCCCTGTCACCCTGGCTCCTGAATTGGCTTTTGGCCCAAAACAAAGTTGCTGTAGATGGGATGAAATTGCTTAATCCAACTGGGGGAGAACTCTTCAAGCTTGCAAAAACACTTGGGAATAGAGCGGAGAATCAGGGCTCTCGCACCGTGCTTGGAGGGATCTGCAAAAACATTCAGCATTTGAAATCTCACCATAGTGTCCTGGGCTTGTGATGTCCACTGTGATGTTGACTTTCTGAGATGGTTCTGAAACATAGGAAGGGGAAAAGTAAGAGTTCCATACCAAGAGGCTCAAGGGTCAGCAACCTCATGGAAGAGAGAGGAACAGAAGGTTTAACTGCTGCATAAATATTTAGATTATACTGTTATCCACCTTGATGGCTTTGTAGGAGGTTAGAATAAAGAATAAGTCAAGCTCAATTCCTGGTGACATCACAGAAATATGCATAACGTTTTCTGGGCAATGATATAGAAGAGGTTTGGCCATTGCTTCCTTCATGAATGCTTTGTCAATTTTCCAATCTAAAACTTGGGGTTCTTTACTGGTCTCCCAGGCTAGTACCAAACAGCTTCAACCCTTAGCTTTCTGAGATCAGCTGAGGTCAGCTAGGTGCTATGACCTAGCTGGGCAGAATAAAGCATGCTGTCCTTAAAAATAAAAGTTAGCAACAATCTCTTTTATAGGTGGAAAAGATCTGGCTGGAACATACACACCATCCAGCTTCTTCCTAAAATCTTATTTTCTCATGTGGAAGAAGAGAGGTAATGGATTCAAGGATTTAATTATTTTAAAACAGAAGAAGTATGTGGTATTGTTTTTCCCAAGAGAAACATCTCAAAACCAGCACCACAATACTTCTATTTAATTTAAAAACAACTGCTCTTCTTAAACTACTTTAGATCGGTTTGCCTTTGTACATCTGAATTACTGAACAAAAAACAGGATAATAAATTGTGCTGTCCTTTGTTAGTACTGGTTGGAGAAAGTTACTCCACCAGTTCCTCTCCTGGTGAAGTCTAGAATATATGATGACATCCTTTCCAATATTTCACGGTGGCTGGCAGCTAGGACTATAACTAATCTTACTGGGTGATACGGATGTGGGCAAGTGTTGTCTTACCTCCTTCAGAGAGGAAGTAGAGTTTTCCTTTCTCAAGGTAGCAAGCTTGTTCTTAAGTAAAGGGGTACTTACAACTCTGTGAGAATCATGGTGTGGTGGGGAAGAGAATTGTTTGTTGTTTCCCTACATTCTTATTTCTCCACCTTTCTTTCTTTCTTTCTTTCTTTCTTTCTTTCTTTCTTTCTTTCTTTCTTTCTTTCTTTCTTTTCTTTCTTTCCACTGTTGAATATTATCTGGCTGATTTCTCAGTCACTGCTTTCCTTTGGTGGCCATTTTCAAAGTAATCTATTTTAATTCTGGCTCAGCTTGGCTTGGTTTTTTCTTCCTTCGTAGTGATATCATTACCACCCCCTCCTTTCCACATTAAGAGGCAAAGTGATTGATTTGCTCTTTGGATGCTTTGCTTGGCACCCTGATGTCCTCCAAATAGTTCTGGCTGCAACTCCCATAATTCCCAGTCAACACATGTGATGGGAACTGTAATCCAGAACATCTGGAAGGCACTAGGTAGTATATTCCTGCTTTAAAGCATCGAGGGAGACCTCAACAGCAGATTGTGTTTTGGTTCTTAATGTTGGCAGGATATAATCTAATTTATTTCCTCTGCTAACATTGGAAGATACTGGAAAGACAGAAAGCAGTCCTTTGCGCATCATTATAGGCACAGGGCTACGACGGGGGGGGGGGGGAGGAGGAAGAGGAATGTCAAAAAAAGCAAGATGGTTGGCACAACCATGTGATTGAAGCCTCACCTTTTCATAACATGTAATGCACTTTTAAAAGAAATGAGGCTTCAATCACACACACCTGCCATCTTGACTTTTGGACCCAACCTATAGATGCCTCCCAATTGTTGCTCTCAAAGATCTCTTCTCATCCCTTCCCCAAATAAAAGAGACCAAAAGAGCAAAATGAATAAATAATCCATCAACAGAAAACTACTTGCCTATCACATAAACACGAGGTGAGGTATGTCCCTTCTCTTGGACAAAAGAGAATTTTATTCGACCAGATCCCTGAATTCTCAAGTAGTATTGCCCTTCATCTTCTATTCGGGCATCTATGATGATGACTGAGCAACTTCCTTGATGCGAATCTCCTATGAAATAGAAGCGATCCTTGGCCGAACTGTGAACTATCTGACGTTTGTCACTAGTAGCTACAAGAAGGCCTTGAACGCAGTCTTGAGCAAATGCTTCCAAACAGAACCATTGCAGTTCAGACTTAAACCAATAAGCGAAAACATAGTCATTCCGGGACAAGTGGTTCTTATCATAAGTGAACTGGCAAGGAATATGAACAATGAGACCGCGCTGCACGGAGACAGAAGACGGCACGGTCACAGTATAATCCACCCCTGCTTGACTTCCGATTCCTGGTCCAAGAAAGAAAAACGAAATTAGTCTGCATACACGCAATGCCTAAATGAAGACACAGTCCCTCCTAAGCTTTCTTCCAGCACTACCTCATAAAGTGGAGAGCACCACAAGTTATCAAGCCCCAAGAAGATGAGACCATGCATCCCCTGTGCACCCTCCCCACAATAACAGTGTGCTCAAGAGATTGAAAGAGAAAATGGGATTCAGCAGTTTATGGTTCTCTACATTGTGGAGTTATCTGGCTACATTGAGACCAGAACATTGTGCTCAGCCATGCTGTAGTTTTGGTGTTTGGGAATTGTATGTAACAGGAACACAGCAATTGTCTGTTATTAGTCCAGGTTTAGGGTTAAGTATGTTATGTCCGATATAGGCATAGTATCCAATACAATAAACAATAGATGTAACTCTACAATGAAAGGATTCTCTGTTGTTTAAGAGAATGCAAGGAAAAAAATAACTGGTCACTTCCTTATAAGGCAGAAAGCTAAGAGAACTTTGCTGA